TCCGAACCTGGCCCTCTTCAAGTCCTGGTTAATAAGAGGAGCTGAAAAGCGATACAAGCAAAACAGAATTCAGAAATGAGCAAGCTGGTTTCCTTCTTTGAGAAGTCAGTATTTTGCTTTCCAAACGTACGGGAAGTTCCGCCAACGAAGAGATTAAATGTCACCAGTTGCATTCACAAGATGGGGGCAGGAATCTTGGTCCTGCTTGCAGTGCAAAACTCCTCCCGGCGGGGAGCGGTGGCGTCTCAGGGAGCGACCAACATGGAGCATGGATGAGTGTGGACACGAACAGGATTCAGAGCAGCAAGACCCAGAGCTAATCTGAGAGAATGACTGTGCTCGCCCATAGCAGGTAGAACTGCACGTTGGGGCGAAGGCTGAGCACACGCAGAGAAATGAAAATCTTTTGCTCTGCCTTTAGTTTTCTCTTTCCAGTGTGCCGTGACAGTCCAGCTGGCACGTCGTGCTAAGGTTCTTTAGGTTTTTGAGGACTTGCATTAGTTGCAATCTTCACTTCATACCACTGGCATTTGGAACAATGCTGGCTTTCTTATTAACATGTAATTGTGGGGTTTGCATGTATAGGGGTTGGCATTCGCTATATGATTCATTTCTTTGGTATCTAGCTCTTCTCCTGAGGCACCAGAGACCTCAAGGAGGGAGGGGGGAAAGCCTGCTTGGCCTCTCCATTATGTGCCTTATTGTAATTTTTTTTGCATAGCATAAAATATTCCAGAATTTATTTTTCTGCATGTTTTTCTTAAGACCGATTGCAGCATTCCATGACTTCCGCAGCGGGACACTGGGTCGCTGCGTTGCTCACCGATAAATGCAGTTGAGTGATCTGTAAATTTAAATCCACAGAAACTTTTAAAAAACAAATCAAACCAAACCAACCCCTAAACATTCTGCTATTCCGAGCCAGGGGTCACTTTCGTTTCTCTCTGCCCATGCTGTAGTTCATGGAGCTGTTTCCACTTGGGTTTTCAGATGGACTGAGGGGGACTCAAAGGTGGTATTGCCAAAACCCAGTGAGACTTTTTACAAATTTTACATGAAACAGAAATCAGTTGGCACCTGGTCAGCTGGGAGACCTGCAGAAGGGCCTGGTTTTCTTCACAGGAAAGAGAGTCTTTCCTCCCGGGAGCTCCCAGTGGCTGGAAAGGGAGGCGGAGCGGAGCGGGGCGGCCGAGCGGGCTGCTGCTCTCAGGAGCTTTGGGGCTTCTCGATTCGTTGTCAAAGCTGGGAATTTTGCTCGCAGAAAGGAACCTGGTTCTTTGCTTCAAGCCTATGGAGATGTTGCATCTCGACCTTCGGGGCTCTCAGAAGGGAAGCAGAACCACTGAAGTTCTAGGCCTGAAGAGCACTCTGAGGTTTGGTGTTTCTATCGTCTGTTAAATGATTTTTCCAGCAGAAACTTACCTCAGAAAACTCCTTCCCAGCTGCAGGAAGACTTGGATGGCCGAGTTGACAGGGGAGATGGGACTCCGCAGCCCAGAGGAAGGTTCCTTAGAAACGTCAGCACAGCTGGACTGTGGCAGAGGCGGATGGGGGTGGCTGTGTAGGACGTGGCGTCCTCGTGTCCTGCGGGACTTGCCGGGTTCGCAGTGCCCAGAGACCGCAGGATTCTGGGGGAGGAACCGAGGGAAGCCCAAGGATCCTTTGGAGGTGGCGGGCGGCTCCAGCACCCGGCGAGTGTTGAGTTCAGGGTGTTTGGTTGCCTCCTGCGTGAGACCCGAGTGCCAGGGAGCAGCTGGAGGATGGGGTATTTCCACCTCCCGGGAGGTGCCTCGTGGCTGCAACGTGCGGGATCCCCATCCCGCCGGAGGCGCTGGAGTTACCGTGCCGTGGCGGGAGAGCAGCAGTGCCAGCGCTTCAGAGATGGCATCAGTGGGTTTAGGAAATAAAACACGATGTTTGTGATTATCATTGCAGCAGCGAGGTCTTCAGTGGAGGGGGGCATGAGGAATGAGCTTTCTTCCTGAGAAATGCCTGGGATTATTTACAGCTCTTTCTCTATCCATTTTTTACATCGTCTGTCATCTGCTGGCATCCTTTATAGGTTGCTGTGGGTTTTTAACCATTGACAGATGTGATTAAGATACGTACACATGTGTGTGTGTATATATATATATATGCGGATATATATGTACCTGTGTATGCATGTATATATAGAGACAGATACAGTTGGAATACATTTAATTTTTATTTTTCCACACTGATAACCATGCTTAGCCTGATCCTCCAGGAGGGGACCAGGCACACAGATGTGCACATGGATGCACTTCGGGGTCTAGCAGCAGTAAAATGTGACGCTAGGGCCATTCCGTCC